CTTATTACTCGGCAACGCCAGTTCCTTTATAATTACCGCAATAAGTTATTAAATATTTCTGATTTAACCAAAAAAATTAAAAGGAAAAACCAAAAAAAAATCGAACTTTCTGTTAGTGGCCAGCAATATTTAAAAACTCTGTCAGTCAAAGAGATCGATTTGTTCTGATCCGATTACTTAGAGTCCTTAAACAAAATTCGTGCCTTAGTTCCTGTCAAAACTTATTTGCCCCAAGATCCCCAAGAAGCTTTTTTTTGAGAAACAATCGATTTGTTTCGAACAGGATTTAAACAACTTAATCAACGTCTACAAAATCTTCTTTATCAATAAAAATTTGGAATTATTATTACAAAAGGTAATTAAATCAGTTGTTGATAGCTTAACTGAATATAAAAACCCTTTTCCAGCACAGCTAATCTTGGGCTAGACATACCTTGAAAAAACCATTGTAATTAGTGGTTTTTTTATACTCATTAATGGGCAAGGGTAGTCTACTCCTGAATTCTCAATTTCTCTACTCAACTCTTATCTTTTATCCCCCAGAGGGGGCTTTTTTTTATTAAATATTATTCTTTTCTCTAAACCTTTTTCCTCTTTCTTTACCATCACCAGCCCTTAAATTAATGGTTTTTATCTCATTTACGGTTATTTCATCAGTCTTAAAAGAATAAGCATAATGGCACTTTTCACACACAAATTTATTCTCTTTTATTCTGGTTTTTTCCATTTTTATGGTATCAAATCAGTAAGTTTCAGCAATAAATTTTCCTTGCTTATCAAAATATTGTCCTAAATCATGGCTAATATGGCGACAATGGGGACAAGTTAAGTATTTATCAATCTTAACCTCTCCATAAGTTTTTCGTTCCTCTAATTGAGCATTTTTGCCTAATCTTTGCTGTTTATTTCGCAATTTATAAGCTCGTTGCTTTTCGGCATTATTGGCATATTTTCTCGGTCTTCCGCCACAACTTCCTCATTCGGCTAATTGTTGTGAATTTACTTTAATTCCTCCTAATATTCAGTGCTTTTTAACCAGTTTTGTCATTATTTCTGTTTTATTTAACAGAGAGAGACGAAAGCCTTGTTAAAAATAAGGCACTTATTAAATAAAAAGGTATTAAAAACTTTTAGGATATTCTTATTAAAGTTAATTATTAAGGCTTTTTCTTAACAATTTCTTAGTAATTTGTTATTCTTTTGTTAGTGATGATAATTATTGTTTCTCCTAAATTTCCCTAATGTTTAACTCTTTTAAAAGAAAGTACAAAAAAAAATTCAGTTAAATTAACTACTTTTACAGTAAATTCTCCTTATAATTTGCTCAAAAGTATGTAAATAGTTAAAAGTTAAGCAAATTATTAAGACATTTATCTATAAAAGTAGTAAATAACACTAATTTAATAATTAATACCAGCCAAAATGAGGATTTTTTGGCTGGGGATTGGGTTAAAAACAGATTCATTTATTTAAACAAGATATTGCTTTCTTTTGCGTTTATAAAAAACAATAACTATTATTCCTAATGCCAAGGCACAAATAAAAGACACAAATAATGTTTCCTCCAAGGAAACATTAGAAGAATTTTTTTTCTTATTGACTAATAATTGCTCAATTTTTTCTCATTTAACATCGTCGAAATCATTTTTGAAATACATCTTACCTTGAAGAATTTTCAGTCTATTACCTTTCGCTATTAAAATTGTATCATGAAAATATTCCTTTTTGAAAGAATTATCAATTAACATTTCTTCTCATTCTTGGTAAAATTTATCACCATCGTAATCACTAACAAATCCATCAAAGGTGAGAACTTTTTCGATATTTCACTCTCCGCTACCCTTTTCGCTAATTTTTTCTAACAAACAATTAAATTCCTCTTCATTTAATTTTTCCATTAGTTCATTTTATATCCCGATTTAGGAGCAATTTCAATCCTTTGTTCTAATTCAATTCCTTCAAAATGAGAAGAAAACTGAACATAACCTCTTATTTCACTTTCTTTTTGATAATTACGTGGTAATCTATCAAAGTTTTCCCTCATTTCGGTAGAAGTAGTATTACAACATGACACCTTTATATTTGATCTACAGTAATTGATCATAGTTCCGTTTTCCTTTATAACAACCTCAGACTTAGAATTTATTTGTTCGGCATGTTCTGAAATGTCTCGACCATAAACACACTTGTTAGCAAAATTCTCACAATTATTTTTGTATATATTAAAATTTCCGCCCATTATTTTGGCTATATTTTGGATTATTTCATCAGCACTTTTATAAGCAACAATTGGATGATACCTAACCACTCTTCCATAATAAGTATTACCATATCCACCAAAACTAACAAAATTTTCTCAGTCAGCAATCCTAACACCGCCACTTGGTAAATTATGAGCAACTTTTTTGTTTCCTAGGTATATAGCAGTATGAAGATCACCACAGAACTCACTAACTTTAACAATATCTAAAGGTTTAAAGAAAGCATCAGGATTATTTTTAACTGCTTGGAAGGCTAATTCAACACTTTTGCTAAATGGGAACGCTGTGCCTAAATAACTTCATGATTTAGCACCAATTACAAAATTTTTCCCAGTAATTTCATGTTCGTAAAAACTAATTGGGTTACTACTATTGAGCCTTCTTTCTATTTCATAAGCACTGCTTTTAGCACTCGGAAAAGAAGGGTAATTATTGACAAAGATTTTTTCTAAGTTTTCGTTTATTTGCCCCAAAGGCATTTCATAAACCAATAAATTTAACTCATAATAACTATCACCACTAATAACTATCACACAATTAGGATTTCAGTGAGCAGAAAACAATATAAGATTTTGTATTGTTCCAGAAATATTTATTTGACTTCTTAACCTATCAATTATTAACTGATAATAATATAATTTTCTCCAAGAAGAAAGATATAATTGTGGTGAATTATCAAAACAACCTATTTCTAATATCTTGTTTCTCTCAGTATTGCTGATATCATTACTTTGATATCAATTTTAATAATGACTTACTTATTGGCATATTCTTTAAAATTTATTTCGCTGATTACAGCGTTATTTTTGTTATTTTTTTATTAAATAATTCACCATTAAAAACCTAAGCGATCAGCGTTTTTTATAAGTATTTCCAGCAAGCTTCTTGCTATGATTGATATTAATAACTTACTTATATTCTCTTGAATTTCTGCTTATTGTGAATAAAAGATTGAAAAACGCCTTTCATAAGAAACTAAATTTTGCTACATACCTAATATGAAAGTTTTATAAATAAAAAACCTTACTATTGCGGATTATTTAACTTCTTTCTTAAACGATAAGCCCTTTGTTTTTCTGCCTTAGTGTGCGTTATTTATTAATAGAGATAGTGTCTATTGACCTTTCACCATATTGAACTATGGTGGCTAAATAATTTTCAATAGTTTCTTTGGTGAAATTTTTATCAATTAATCAGTATTTGTATTCGTTTAATTGGTTATTTTTTAGGTTATTTTCCCATGATAGGGTTTTTAATGAATAATGTAGAAAGTTCATAGTGAAGTTTTAAAAAAATCACTTGACAAGGAGGGCGAACTTTCTAAGGAATACCCTCCTTATTTTATTTTTATTTAATTTAAAAATGTAAAATTTAAGTATTATGGCAACTAAAAAAACCAAAGGCTTTAAGGGTTATTTAGCCAAAATAGAAGATCCTAATTACCAAGGAGGTTCTTGGGATTTACCAGATAATGCTAGCACTTTAGAAAAAGCCAAGTATAAATTGTGTCAGAAAATATTAACTTATCAGCAAAATAATAACTTTAGCGACAAAGAATTAGCCAAGAAAATGAAATTAGGTTATGAAGAAACTTTTCAAATTTGAAAAGTTTACTTTGGATAGTTTAATAAATCACGCTGATAATCTACTTGATACTTCACATTTAATAAAATTACTAATGTTACGAAAACTGTGATTTAATATTAATGGTATATATAAAAGGTTAAAAAAAATACTATTGCCGGTTCCTCTTTCTTCTCCCGCTTTTGGTGATTCTGAGACCTCTATTGACATAATTAATGACAAAATAAAATTGTTGAAAGGAACTAGCAAAAATTCAGTTAATTTAAAATCTTACATTAACTATTTTAACTTTTTGGAGAAATTAGGACTAAGAGAGGATTTCGATATAATTACTACTGAAGGCAATTTATTGTTGTTTGGCAGTATTATTCGACCAATTTTAATAAATGATAATAATAGAAAATTAGTAATTTTTTGCCATGGTGTTACTAATAATCGTTGATCACTTTTTTATACTATGCATCTTGCTCTTCAACGCGGTTATCAAGTAGTTGTTTATGATGCTCGTAATCATGGACTTTCAGAAAAATCTTCGACTAGTTTAGGCCAAGTAGAGGCTTGTGATTTGCAAGATATCATTTCTTGAGTGAAAAAAAAGTATCAACCGGTAAAAATTGGCCTTTATGGTTTTTCGATGGGGGCGGCAACTTGTATTTTTTGATTAAGTTATTTTGGTGGCTCTAGTAATTCTGAAGTAGTTTTTGCTGTTTGTGAAGCGCCTTTTGATTATTTTGCTAAGCAAAGAAAAAATGCTTTAGGTCAAGGATTAAATTATTATTGAAAAAATTATCTTATTACTAAGGTAATTAATGAATTGCTCAATACTTCTCATAGTAAGTTAGAAAAAATAAATCCTTTTTTGTCTTTGCCCCAAGAATTACCAATAAAGTTATTACTTCTTCATGGCTTAAATGATAATTTTCTTGATTGACGGGCCTCTTTTCGTACTTATTTTCAGTTAAGTAAAAATAGATTAAATAAAGGCAAAGTTAATCTTTATCTTTGTCGTTATGCTGATCATGGCGATTTACCTTTTATTGCTGATTATGTTCCTAATAGTCTTCGCTGAAAAAAAAACTCGCAAAGTTCACGTTTTAACTTTACTACTCTCTTCTGTAACTATTTGCAAAAGAACTTGTAAAATTAATAATATAGAGGGTGCTAGCTCAATGGGAGAGCATCTGCCTTACAAGCAGGAGGTTGACGGTTCGAGCCCGCCGTACCCTACCAATAAAATTAAAAAATGGCGCAAACAATAGCGAAATTTTTAACCTTTGAGAGAAAAGGAAATATCGGTGAAAACCAATTTCATATTTGAAAAATGGAAAATCAAAAGGGG